TCTTGAGTTTAAAAATAACTCATTACTTCTTTTCCAAATTTCTTTGAAATATTTTGAAATTAAGTAATTCTTTTTCTTCGAAATTTCTTTTTCTTTTTCAAAATTTCTTGAATACTTCAGAATCTGTCTCTTATACACATCTAGATGTGTATAAGAGACAGGGCTCGATCCCTGGTCTATCTTTTTGCTATTTCGGCTGCATCCCGTTTTCGGCCTGGCACCCTTTTTCCAAACCCCTCCTTTGGTACCGTAGGATTGTGGACAACTGGCGCCATGCTGCAATTTGGGCGCCACTTTCAAATACCGCATTTTTCAGTTCTGCCCGCGGGGCCTTTGCAGAAATGCCCCTGGTACCGTACGTGTCACCGGTACTTATACCGGCTCCCCGTATGGTACAGGGACCAGTCTCGTACCAGTTTCCAGCTGCTGTACTCGTACTCAGTGTGACTTGCTGTTTCGGCCTTCCGGAATCCAAGACTTCGATTTTGTGCCCTTGCCACTGTGTCTGCGTCCGACCCTTGGTCGTGTCAAGTGAGAGTGTGTGTGTGCTCTCACTCTCTCCCTCTCTCTCCCCCTCTCTCTCTCCTCTCCCTCCGCTCTCCCTCAGCCTCGCGCGCGTTACACTGGTATCGGAGCGGTTCGAACCCGCCCGACCCACCCTGCTTTGTCGCCATCACATGGCCATCATCAGCATCATCGTCGTAATCGTCGTCGTAGTGCCACGTCATCGTCGTGATCATCGCCGTCGTGCCACCTCATCACCGTCATCGTCATCGTTGTGCCATTTCATCATTGTCACCGTCGCGATCGACCTCGTCGTGCCACGTCATCATCGTCACCATCCCGATCGTCGTCGTCGTGCCACCCCACCATCATCGTGCCCGTCGTCCTCGTCGCCACGCCGTCCTCATCGTCGTTGCTACCCCGCGCAGATAAGTAATTGACAACAATTTTCTTTTTTTTTTAATTTTTTATTCTTTTCTTCTTCTTCGATTCTTCTTCTTCTCCTTTTCATCTTGGTCTTCTTCTTTTCATCATCTTCTTCTTCTTCCTCCTCCTCTTCTTTTTTTTTTTTTT